TCAGCTGTGAGATGTTTGAGGGGTTTTTTGCATGTACAGCCTGTTTCAAGTCACCCCACAGCATCTCATTGGGATTAAGATCAGGGTTTTGGCTTGGCCATTCCAGGTCTCTCCACTTAGTTTTTAGCCAGTCCTTGGTGGATTTGCTGGTATTATTCCAGAAGTCATGGTCTTTGTCTACGTTCGCTCTGGCACACTTCAGTCTGGCCTTAATGTTTCTCCTAGAGAGCAAAGGTTTCCTCCTTGCACACCTCCCATGAAAGTCAAACTTGTGCAGTCTCTTTCTGATAGTAGAGTCATGCACTTTCACATCGACAGTAGCCAGAACCTGCTGTAGTTCCCGGGATTTTAGGATTTTTGATGACTTCTTTGAACATCTTGCGGTCTGCTCTGGGGGTGAATTTGCTTGGACGGACAGACCTGGGCATGGTGTCAGTTGTTTTGAATGTCCTCCACTTGTAAACAATTTTCCGGATGGTGGAATGGCTGATGTCAAACTCTTTTGAGATCTTTGTAAATCCCTTACCAGACACATAAGCAGCCACAATCTTCTTTCTGGGGGCATCAGACAGCTCTTTAGATCTCACCATGGCGCTCACTTCAACAGTCAGGAGCACACCAAACTAAATCTGAGGTTTAAATTGGGCAAGGCTCCTTTAAAATGCTGGGTAACGATGTACGGATCATGTGCACCTGACGTGATACACCTGTGTGTAAGTTTAACCATTTTAAGTGGGATAATATGTGGGGGTGTCCTAATTTATTCCTCACCAGAAATTGCATTCTTTTTAAATAAATTTCACAGAAAGTTTTACAAAGGATTTTATTATTTTTTAATCGTTTAGTTATGTTATTTGGATCCCTCAGTATCATTAAAATTGATATTAAATATCCATATGTCCAAATATATTTTAAAATATACAGGCTTTCATAGGGTGTTCTAATTTTCTCACATGACTGTATCTGTATGCACCTATTTAGCCCACAGACCCATCTGCTCTGCCCCCCACCCTCATTCTCTCACTCGCTTTCTTACATGGGGACCATTCTCTATATATATTTTATGTCCCACTGAAGAGACTTTTACCATAAATTGCACAGAAATAATAAGCTCTCCATTTCTCTTGCTCCTTGACTGCTTTATTTCCCTCCTTCCAATCTCCTGCTTCTTTTCTGTCATCCTTATATTTACTTTCCTCTTCTTTTTGCATGTTTTCTCTACACCTTTCCCTTTCTCCTTTATTGATTTTTTGTTTATTTGGATCTCTCTCTCTCTCTTTCTCCTTTGTCATTCTGTCCCTTGCTGTCTTTTAACTTTCTCATCCTCAAATGTTATTTTCATGTTTTTTCTTCTCTTCTTCTCTCCTGCCACTGTATTTTTCTAGATTTTATTCTTTCCCCCAGTTTTTTGGACATTATTTAAGTTTTTAAAATAGTTTCCTCTTCCTTCATCAAACGAGCTTTAGTGGATGGAAAAAACATATGAATCTTGTGGTGTTGAAGCAAGAATAATATGAAAATAATGGTAAAATGTTTTTTTTTATTAGGTAAGTAATCTTATTTTATGCTTGGCTGGGGTGAATAGTGTTGGTCAAGACACTAAAATCTGACCTTGCGAACTTTGGCTTTAGCAAACTTTGTTATTACTGACTCCATATCCACTGATTTTCTGACTTCATGCTCAATGGAGAGAATAGCAAGTGCAGACAGCCGCTCTTGTGACATTGTTGCCCTGAGGTATGTCTTAAGTTTCAGGCATGAGAAACTTCTCTCACCTGAAGCAACTGTGACAGGGAGAGTAAGTAACAGTCTGAGAGCTATACTCAAATTTGGATATATGTCCAGGATATTTTCTTTATATATGTGATCAAACATCTCAGATGGTTTGGAGA